GTTCCTGAGTTAGCGTTGTTATGCTGCGGTGCGTGGTTGCTGGTGAGAATATGCTTAAGGTTGGCAGGTTGTTGGTGGGAGGGTGTCTGGAAATTTCCATTACTTGCGTCTGATGAAGTGGGCATTCACCCACGAAAGCTTATGCTCCAATACTTCTGTTAGTCTTAAAGGTGCCACAGGTCCCTCTGTTGCTTTTTACAGATTCAGACTAACAAGGCTACCCCTCTGTTACTTGACTGCAGGTATTGTACACCAGTGCTTACTGGCATGCATTAAGAACACTACTGGCCATCGTAAATGAGTATCCAGTTCCAGCCTGGCCATAAACCAAACTATTGGCAATGTATATTATGAAAATCCATTTCAGCCTTATACACATTGGCATTTGAATCTTTAATAATATATGGAGATATACCTATCTCATAGAACTGGAAGGGACCCTAAAAGGTCATTGAGCCCAGCCCCTTGCCTTCACTAGCAGGACCAAGTTCTGATTTTGCCCCAGATTCCTCTAAATGGCCCCCTCAAGGATTGTACTCACAACCCTGGGTTTAGCAAGCCAATGCTCAAACCACTGAGCTATCCCTCCCCCCAAAGATCAAGCACCCAACGTGGGGCATGAACCCACGATCCTGAGATTAAGAGTCTCATGCTCTACCAACTGAGCTAGCAATCTTGCCTCTTACCATTATGCTTCTCTATAAGGTAAAAGTTTAGTACTATTTCCATAGCACAAATTCTGAAGACCTTGAATAAAATATTAATAAGGTATAATAAAAGGAATAATACTACCTCTATTTACAATTTTAATATTTCAAGCAGCATTTCTGTGATATTATAGGCAGGCCTGGCAGCACTTTTTCAGGGGTTGCTTAAGTCTGGAGGCCTCATTCAAAGTTTGTCCATATTAGAGAAATGAAACAGTTTTAAATACAATCTGTGCAGTGTTTCCACACTAACTACACTGTTTCAGTTTAAAGGTTTATCCTGCATTCATATCTGCTTTCAGGGTGTATAGAAATAGATGATTTTTAAAAAACAAATAAAAATAAATCAGATTTTTTATTTAAATTCAATATTTTTTCCTTTTTAAAAATACACCTATTTAAAATTAAATTTCAAGCTATGACAATATATGTCAAATCTATTAAAATCATTTAAACTAAATTTAAAATTTTAATACTAAGCAGTACGTGCTTGCTGCCAAACTTTAAAGTAAGTTAAGCCATTGAACTAATAGAAGTCACTGGGTAAGCACCTTTTGACAGCAGTAGCCTCTTCTGCATGTGCAGAGAAACTATTTTCTTCATTTCTGAAATTCAGTTCAATGACTAGTTGAATGACTGCAGCCAATGGGAGCTTCGGGGGAGGTACCCAGAGGCGAGGGCAGCACACGGAGCCCTCTGCCCCCCCTTCCCCAGGGGCTGCAGGGACATGGTTCCGGCTGCTTCCGGGAGCAGCGTGGGGCCAGGGCAGGCAGGCAGGGAGTCTGCCCTGGCCCCGGTGCACGCCGCTGCCACCCCGAAGCCACTCCAGGTAAGTGGCATCAGGCCAGAGCCCTCACCCCAAGCCCCTCCTGCACCCCGCACCCCAATCTCCTGCCCCCCCATCGCACCCTGCCTGCACCCCGCACTCCTCCTGAGCCCCCTCGTACATCCCACACCCCTCCTCTGCCCTCAACCCCTCGCCCTGAGTCCCTTCCTGCAGACCTCATCCCCTCCCACACCCCAACCCCCTACCCCAGCCCTACATTCATGGCCCTACATGCAATTTCCCCACCCAGATGGGACCTCCGGGCCAAAAACTTTGCACACCCCTGATCTAACTCCACGAGGTACTGGAGCACAATGTTCAGCAGATGGAGCATTTGGCCAGAACTTACATCAGTATAGCTACAGCTCTCAGGGGTGTGAAAAATCCACACCCTTGAGAGACAAAGCTATACCGACCTAATCCACAGTGTAGGTAGTGCTAGGTCAACAGAAGAATTCTTCCGCCAACCTATCTACTGCCTCTCAGGAAGGCTGACTACCTACGCTGATGGGAAAACTCTTCCAGTAGGCATTGGTAGTGTCTACTCTGAAGCACTACAGCGGTGCAGCTGATGCAGTGCTGCTGTGGCACTGTAGCGTTTTAAGTGTAGACATATCCCAGGTCTGAAAGAACTCAGGGTGAGTAGCAGTAGCTGCAGAATCTCAAATGAGGAAGGAGACTTTTTTTTGTCCCTCTGTGGTAAACTAGCCTCAACACTGCAGCAGTAGACAAGGGTGTACAAACTACTCTGACTTGAGAAGACAGCCGTAAGTAATACTTGTGAAAGCAGACTGGCCCAAATGGTTATTGACAAAGTTTGTGTTTAAAGAAAGTTTGACAGCTAGAGAGATTTTTGCCCTACCTTTGCAGAATTAGGCCTTGATCCCACAAACAGACAGACCCTTACACCACCAACTTAAAGAAGACTCCTCACATGCATAAGGGTTCACCATCATGGATCCCATTGCAGGATCAGGACCATAATCCTTTTTAAAAAAACACCCCTCACACACAGAGCACAAAACAATTTAAGTGAAAGTAGCACTTATAAGGAAGTAGAAATGGAAGTTAGTGTTACAAGTGAAGGCCCCTGTTCCTGCAGCCCTAGTCAGAGAAAGCTGCCACCACAATCAGAGATTGAGTTGTCCAAAGAAAGACTAGGATAACAGCAGCTCCCCCAAAGTAATCATTGTTGCAAAAGTGCCAGTTGTATAATAGAGACTATTTTCCAAGCACATTTTCCCCACTCTATTTTTTAAAATTAACAGTGATTAGTCTTGGTCTATAACAATCCTTGCCAATGCTTTGAAATGGAGGACTCAAAACTCACGTGGATTTTTCTGATTACAGGAAATTTTAACAGCACTTCAAATTTTTTTTAAGAAAAACCTTACTTTAATTATAATCATGTCAAGTGATTTTTGTTTGACAGTGCTTGTAAACAAGTGCATATCTAAACAAATTACTTTATTCTTCTCAGGATAACATTTATTAAGTGAATTTTTAATATTAACTTAGAAGTATATATTTCTCTTTCAGTTGTTTATATTAAGCACATTTCGCTACAAACTTAGGGGAAAATTTGACCCTCAATGAGTACATATGCAATGGTCGTTAAAATATGAACTTAATACCAAGTGTAAATAGACTTTTACTAGACTTCAGTTGTGCTCTTGTAACATTACAAGTACATTTTCAAATAGATGCTTAAAAAGGAGGCAAAGATTTAAATAAATAAATAAACATTGCTCATACCTGTCACATTGCTGCATTATAGAAATTTCTTTAATTATTTCCTGAAGATCTGACTCAACAGGGACTTGTTTAATTGCCACTACTTGTCCAGATTCCTTGTGTATTGCTTTAAACACACTACCATAAGATCTAAAAATTACAAAGAATTACAAATTAATTTTTTCTACAAAATATTTCTTTCTTCTTCCCAATCAGCACTATTCAAAAGATCATGCCAATCACTGTATTCATTTAGAATACTTTTTTTATATTGTCTACATCAGATGCTTGTAAAATTGCAAGGGATTTCAATTTCATCATGACTGTGCCTCTGAAAAGGAAATCCTCAGATAATGTTTACCTTCGCCAATTCATAGGATTTGGCATATTATATCAGAATATTGATCAATAATATCTGGTACCTTACCTCCAGCAGTTGCTTATGAAGTAATATAATGTTAAGTGAAAGGTAAATCAACATCATAACACACTTAGCCAGTTAGGAAATGCTGTAAATTAGAAAAAAAACAAGGAGGGAAAGAATAAATCCCCCCCGATCCCTTCAGGCAATCAGCTTACATCCTGACCATGAGATTTATCCTCATCATCATTTGCATACCAATCATAATTTTATCCCATTCTTCTTAAAAATCTAGCTACAGTATTTGACTCAGATTTTCTGTGGCTGTACATTTACAGAGATTTGGTATATGCTTTCTAAAATATAATTACAAAGAAAAAAGTGCTATTACCCTTTTGTGTTTTCTTAACATGGGATCAAGAAATTGGAGAGACCGATCATTTTTTTTTTGCAATTCCCTTCATAATTTAAATGCCTCTATCAACTCCCCTCTAAAAACTTTAGAAATTGAAAAATCTTAGTTTTGTAAATAGCTCTTAGATTCATCATTAATCTAATCCAAATTTCCGGATATACATACATTTTATTTAAAAGGAATAAGATTACAATTACATGTTTACAGTTACATTTTTCTATTTTACAATATTCTCCCTATTATCATAACAAGTTAGTTATCAGGCACCCAAAATGAAGGTTTGCAGTTTGAAACTCTAGCCTCTAGTGTGAGCTACCCAAACACATGAGCAATCGAGCATACTGAGCTTGTTTGGAAGGCTCTGTTCCTTTTACATGCTCCATAATTCTGAGCCAGCAGGGGAATAGAAATTGACAAGATTCATGTTTTGACCATTTCAGTTCCTCATCATCAGCCTTGGGCCTAGGAATGTGACTTCTCTATATTCATAATGCCAGAAGATTCAACAGAATTCTACAGAATTTAGGCTTACCACACACAGGCTTCGTCAGCTGCCAGAGAAGCTGCCCCTGTTCAATTTACAAATCCTGCAGAGCTCCTACATTCTGGTGGTGGTGAGTAAGCTTGTACCATTCCCAACTGCATAAAGCACCTGCAGAGCTACCAACTTCCCTGGGCAGATCACAGTAAAAATGGAGCCCTTATACCACAGAGACCTTCTCTATTTCAACCTCTTTCCCTCTCTAAAAATAATAATCTACTATCTTTGCAGCTAGCCAAGCTGCGAAACAACCTTACAGTATATACCAATCCTTCAATAATAAGATACTTTGCTGTGTAATAATCACATTCTTTGTTCCACCAGTCTATATGACCAATAAAATGATAACAGGGAAGGTAACACGTACCCTACTCGGAATATATCTTTATATCATCATTCTCATCTACTTTCCAATTTGCAATTAAGTGTGGCTTGTGGCAAAGAAAATGTTCCTGACTTCACTACAACCACAAAAATAAACTTATTTTTCTGCATCAGTAAATGAAAGGCATGAAGGTTTGCAGTCTGAAACTCTAGCCTCTAGAAAGGCATGACAAAAATGCATGGGTAGGTTTTCAAAAAACCCACACAGGCATTTGCTGTTTAAATACTAAAAAAAAGGCCCAATTTAGTTCATGCTCACTGACACTGTGTCACTTTTAATATTATATTAATTTTAAATATTTTCCCCATGTATTCCCTCCACACACACACACAAACAGTTCTACTCACCCTTCACCAAGCTTCTCTAAAACATCAAAGACTTCTTCAGGCTGCTTAGTTAAGCTGTCTTCACTTAGCTTTTTCAGCTTGCTAATAAAAATAATATTTTACAATAAGTCATTTGCATATTTGTCTTTAAAGATAAAAACCTGTAGTTCAAATAAAAAACATGGCTATTAAATGAGAGGAGACAAAGAAATTAAGATCTTACAAAGAGAGAGGCAGGAGCACTTGTAATGAAAAACAAGCATCAGGTACAGACGGTTATAAAATACTGTCCATTAAAAAAATAGAAGGTGAAAAAGACAACACTCCTCACCATTGAGAACGAGGGGGCGGAGGCACTGCCCTCCTTATAACTTTTAGCTTAGTGGTTAAGGTACTCACCAGGGAGACCTAGGTTCCATTCCCCCTTGCCTGAGGTGGAGTAGGACTTTGACTTGGGTCTACCCACATTGCAGGAGAGCACCCTACCCACAGGCCTATGGGATACAATGGTGTGTAGCTCTCTGAGTTTCTCCTATTTAAGAGTTAGTCAAGCAGAGACATGACCTTAGATCTCCCCACTACTAGGGGGTGCCCTAACCACAAGACTATATAGTCAGTCAATCAGACTAGGGTTACCATAGGTCTGGATTATCCCGGACATGTCCTGATTTGGGGGTAGCCATCCGGGAGGACTTTGTAAAAATCTAAAAAGGTCCAGGATTTCCCTCCCAATGCAGAGCACGGCACGGTTGACAGAGCGGTCGGGATGGATTGCTCGCATCGGGGCCTCCAGCAGCCAGAGCCGCTCCCCTGCTCCCCCACCCCCACAGCCTCAGCACCACCGGCACCGTAAGGGGGTTGGGGAGTTGGAGAAGGGGCGGGGGCCCCAGGAGGCAGTCAGGGGACAGAGAGCAGGGGGGGTTGGATGGGTCAGGGGTTCTGGGAGGGGCCTGTCAGGGGGTGGGGGTGTTGAGAGGGATCGGGACAGGTAGGGGAAGGAGTCCTGGGGGGGGCAGTTAGAGTGGGGGGATCTCAGGAGGTGGCAGTCAGGGACAAGGAGAAGGGAGGCTT